GGCACAGTAAATCAGATGCTGCCGAATTTCACCTTAAGCTGCCAAAACTTGCATAACTTCCTCTAGAAGACTCAAAATCATGAACTGTAAAATGCTCTAGAAACTAGACTTCCACATCTTTCATATGGCTCATTATCGGGTTCTTCCTGAGCACGTGCAGTCCAATCCATGAAGTTGATTGATATGCAGACATAGTTTTGAGCTAACTTGACTCCAAAATGCATTAAATGAGTCTTAAAGCTTAATACACTGAAACAAAGGTAAAAAAGGGTCAAGCGCACAAGTTTAACTAAAAAACATAACCAAATCATAAGTTAGAATGGTATAAATTGATATGTAATTATGCATTGATTAATATGCTCTATTTTCATTTATCTGGCATGCTATATTATCAAATTGCAAATTTAGATCACCTATTGTCATTTATCCGATAAGAAGATGAAAGTTTCGTAAGTTTATATATTTTCAATGATAATGCCCTTAATAATGTCGAGCATAGCTAGGTAATTTATTATTTACCTCTCAAATTCCTTGAAGGGCCATGGCCCTCTAGGCCGAGAAGCTCATATTTTATGGGCCTTAGCCCACCAGGCTTATATTTTATAGGCTTCTACCCACAACTATAACCTCTAATTTCTCTGTTACCATTGTCATCAGTAACTTCTCCTTCTTTATCATTGTTGAGGCCCAAAAAATCGAAGGCAAGGCCCAAATATATTTCTAGCCTAATACAACACCTAACTTGGGAAGAAACCCAACTTGGGTAAGCAAGAGTTCGTCATATGCACTTGCACAGGTGTCACGCCAAGCAAATAAGTAACACACCACGCTACAAGCTTAAGTGGGCCCAAGCCACTCGAATGACTGGGGCTTGCTGAGCAGGTTGTGGTATGGATGGTTACGAGTATTCACAAGACCCATTGATGATCCAAGGAGTGGAAGTTTTGGACTACTTGGGAGCACCAAAACTCAAGCTCATTCCTTGAGCCCAAATATATGGGTAAGCATGAGAGAAAACTCAATAGCCCATCACCTTAAGAAAAGGCCCATAACACTTGAAAAAATCCCACATCAGCCAAAGCTTCCAGCAACTTGACAAAATCAAAGGGAACTCACAAGCAGGTGGAAACAAAATAGCCCAGCCCAGCACCTTATCAAATATCCAACGTTGTGGAAATATCTAGCATCTTTGTTAAAACCATATCAAAGCCAAACCACCAAAACCAAGCAAACCCATGTGTTGATGGAAGTTAATCACCTTTTGACCAGCACCCTTACCCATTCTTTCCTCTGCAAGCTTTGGTGAGAAAACAAGAAGGAAAATTGAGTGGTGCCTCACCCACATGGAAAAGTCCAGTTGTGTGAGGGTCTTGGAACTCCAAAAAGCTTCATAAGATGGAATGGAAGAAAGTGAAGGAAAGGGGAGAGGGTGTCTTGATAAAATTGAGTGTTCTAGCGCCTATAAAAGGAGGCATTTTCTATCCAGGAAAGATAACTGATCAAAGGCAAGCATCCCCTCTGGAACCTTTCAATTTCATGCCTTGTTCTTTCATCTTCTTCCTCTCTCTCCCAAAACCCACATCCAGAGAGAGCAAGCATCATCTCTCATCCCTGGAACACTTCAATTTCTAGCCCTATTCCTCCATCTCTTCCCAATTTCTCTTCTGTCAAGCTGCCGGAAATCTGCTAAAGCCACTCATGCTTCTATCTTCTTCCTCTCTTTCCAATAAACACATCCAGATAGAGAGCAAGCTTCACCTCTCATCCTTGGAACCTTTCGATTTCAAACCATATTCTTCCATTACTTCCCTTTTTCTCTTCCGTCAAGCTGCCGGAAACTTTCTCAAGCCACCCCATTCCTCTTCCTCATCTCTTCCTATCTCACCTCAACAAGTTCTCCTAAAAACTCTCTCTTCCCCTTACTTTGAGCCTCTGTGTCTCATAGGAAACCCAACCTTCTCTCTCTCATGCTAAACTTGTGAATGCTCAGCTTCTATGCCACAAGTTTCTCATGCCAAGCCATAATATTTATCTATAAGCAACTGTTAGTTTTGTTGGTGAAGGAAGCCAAGGTGTTTCCTAAGGCTCCATGAACCTTTCGAAGCATTCTTGGGGCCTGATTCTTGAACTCAGACTTAGGGGCAGTTTCACACATTTGGCTCTTTACAGTAGCCCAGGCCCATCAGTAGCTGCCGGAACGAAAAAGCCCCTTACAATCATCATTGGCTTTTAGCTTCGACTCTTGCAGGTAATGTTGCATTTTATTTTATGATTTGAACCGTGTATGATTTTGGTGTTTTTTTCCTTTGCTTCATAATGTCTCCAACTCTCTATTTTGATTCTCAAGTTCTTTATAAACCAAAACCTACCAAATGATGGATTTTAATTCCTTCCATTTTAGCAAAAACTTCACATTTATAGCTTTGTACTGGGTACTGCTACCGTCTCAACCGAACCCCTAACGTGCCGGGCAAAGTAAAGGTGTCAAACTAGCCATGTCAGGCCGACCCGACCCGTTTAGAGTTGGCCCATTTAATAAACTGGTCGTGTCGAACCTATCCATTTATGAACATCATCAATCCCAGCCTGAGCCCATGACCATAGTCCATATGGGCTAGGGTCGTGCTCGTGTCGAGCCACTAAACGGGCTGAGATGGATCCACACCAAATTTGACTTTTGTATTGCAATTTTTTTTACAACTTCATTTAATTTAATTTTTTTACAATTATGTACATACAAACAAGATTTATTATTTGTTAAAAAAAGAAGACAATAACTTTATTAAAAGTACATTTAAATAGAAAATGACTAGATTAATATTTGGATTTTAAAAACTGAAACTTGAAAAACAAAATCATTATTTTATATATAAAGAAAATATTAAATTTTAATATTGTTCACTCGTTTTGATTAATATCCTGTGATGGCAGGGTAAAGTTCCTCACTGGCTTGACAACCATTGGTGGTCAACAAGTCAACTTTCTTTTGTGCGTGAGCGTGCCACTACTAGTAGTTTATAACCCTAGCAAACTTCTAAAAGATAGATAACTTGCACCCCAAGTTACTGACTTTTGAACAAGCAATTGTGAATTTGGGTGAGAAATATCTCCTAAGTAAGTTCTTTTCTTTGCCTCAGACTAGTGAGGACTTCATAATTTTTCACAGTACAAATGGGTAGTTCTGGCCAGAATAGACAAAAAAGAAGACAAACTGTTTTAAGCATAACTACATGTTACAGGACTCAAAACGAAATGACAACTATAAAGCAAGAAAACAGGATGTTGGACTTCGATTTCTGCTTGAATAACTGCCTCTAAACCGGGCTGGATTGGATGTGTCTGTACTGGATTGGATCGTCAACACCCTTAACTGATGAGTTTCAGCTGGAAATCGATACCAACGTTTGAGTTTGGCAGAGCTTTAATTTATTTCAGGCCATGGAAGGCTTGCTAAACAGACAAAATTGAGGCCTCTTCAGCTGGAGAGGGCAAAAGTGGCTGGATTGATGATCACTGGGCTGGAGCTGCGCTATGGTGCCTGTTCTGCTTGACCAAGGCTTTTTGTAAATTTGCTGATGTTTTCATATTTGTAAAAACCCATACTCTACTTGACTTGGCTTTGTGCTGAACCAAATTTGTAACGAGATAAATCTCACTTTGTAAAACTGTTTCTCTGAATTGAACTGAAATCAAAACTTGAATTCTAGCTGACTTGTTTCTTGTGGCTCAATGAGCTTTGGTTGCTTCAGTGTTTGAAGGCTTTTGATATCAATGGATCTTTTTGAGTTTGTAAATTGTGACTTTGAGAGTTAATTTTGTCTTGATTGATTTTTTGGTTGTGTTCTATTTGTTCACCCTCTCTCTTATTTTATAGGAAATGTTGGAGCGGGGTTTTTAATCTTTGAATAATGGCTGGCAAATCCTTAAAAATATCTTTCTTTTTAAATGTCATAGAAATGGGAAGTTATCTATTCTGGTAGAGAAGAACCATCAACAGTCAGTTCCCATGGTAGTCTTTTCCTTGCTTTTCCCAAAAAAATAAAATCAACTCCTTTTGCTCTCTATTTGTTCCTTTTTAAAGAAGGAAAGACATAATCTGCCGTGATGGTTAGTTTGCTTTTTCTGTTTTGAACAACCCCCCTTGCTTCCTACTTATCTTTTGAGAACATAGTCTGCTTATCTCTTGGAAAGGTCACCTACTTTGATGCAAACTTTCTCCGTATAAAAAGGGAGTTTGATCTTTTTTGTTGCAGAAATTTGGAGAAGTCTTCCTTTTGTACATGCCTTCATTAACTCTCTATCAACTTATCAACTCCTCTGTGATAGTTGAAATTTTTGACTTTTCAAAATCAGGTAGTCACGTGGGGGCTTTTTGAGAAAAGATTTGCTGATTTTGTCTTGTTTTGGGGTAGAGATCAAATGGTGTGAAAAAAGGTTGTGTTAGTTTCTTTTAATTCTTTGTAGATAAAAAAAAAGCCAAATGTTTTGTTCATGGACCTTATTGACAAAAATGGGTTGGGCGTGCCGAGAATAGGCCCAAACTCAAGGTAAACTTTGGTGGCTGCTAAAAATTGACATGGGCTTTTCTAATTTTGGGCTGGGCATGCCAAGTTAGGCCCAAACAAATATATATATATATATATACATATATATATTTAAAGAAATAAACTTGAATTTAAGATACAAATATAATAATATTATGTAAAAGAATATTTAACGTTTTTTAGGTCAAGGCTCCCGTATTTCTACTTATACTGTGGGCGACTGGACCATGTGGGTTCTGCATACAGTGTCAAGGCTTCAGGGGCTATTGAGGTTGAACAATATGGACGGTGGAAAACTGTAATAAAGGATGTGTATTGTATCCGGGCAAAGAATCAGTTAAAAGGCAAGAGGCTAGGTTTGTTTGATGACGAACCTCACAAGGAGGATGTGGTTTCGGTGCCGGCCAAGCGTACGGGGGTGGTTTGATCCCTTGACGAGGCTTTTGACGGCAAGAGATGGATAGTGGGATGGATTGTCCCCTAGCGCAAGTCTTCAAACAGCGCCGAGTACACAAGGAAAAGGAGGTCACTGTCCTTTCACAAGGGGCCGATGGTGAGGTGATTGGCAATAGGGAAGGTAGGATGCATCTTAACCAAGGGGTCTCTGAGGCTGCGCTGTCGGATATGGGCCAATTACAGCTTTCCCAGCCCCCTCATACTGCTCCTAGGTGCTTGGACAAGGGCAAAACAGTGTTGGGGGACGATAGCATTGTGGCTTCTCCTACCTTGGGGCCGCCAACCTCATTCTGCAAAGGTAGTGCACAACGTGGATTTCAGCTGGGCCGTGCCAGGCCTCGGGGGAGTTCTGTGATGACTGATAAAGCTTCTGGTGCCAAGCGCACACCCGTGATGGGTCCCGGGGGTCGGGCCCATCACGAGAAATGACAATATTATGCTGGAATGTGTGGGGTTTGGGCAACCCACGTACATTCCGAGCTCTGAGATTCCTTATAGAGATAAAAAGCCTCGCATCATCTTTTCGTCGGAGACCAAAAAGACGGTGCGCCAGATGGAGTGTGTGCAACGGCAGTTAGGTATGATGGGGTGTTTCAGTGTTGGGAGAGAAGGCAGGGCGGGGGGTTTAGCGTTGTTATGGCAGCACAAAGTGGATGTATCTATTCTGTCTTATTCGCCAAGGCATATTGACGCTATTTTAAAGGGGGGTGGATATGGAGACTTTTCGTTTTACTGGGTTTTATGGGAATCCTGAGATGAGGTTGTGTCGGCATTCTTGGGATTTACTACGACGTATTGCAGGGTCTGTTCAAGGGCCATGGATTGTAGGTGGGGATTTCAATGAAATTCTTGAGGCTCATGAGTACTTTGGTCGCCATTTCCGACCCATGTCACAAATGAGGGCCTTTCGGGAAGCTCTGGAGGAGTGTGGTTTGACAACTATTCGGTTTCAGGGGTATAAGTTTACATGGTCTAACCGATGCCAAGGTGGCTAATGGTGACTTTGTTAGAATCTTTCCTGAGGTCGCAACGCATCATCTGAACTATATGGTGTCAGACCATCTTCCTTTGCTGTTATATTTGAGACCCAGTACTTGGTCGCGAAAGCATAAGCGGTTCTTGTTCGAGGAATTGTGGACTACTGTTGAGGGTTGCCAAGATGTCATTTCGCATGCTTGGGAGTCTGAGATGGGAACTATCGTAGAGAAATTGAAGGCATGTCAGGGGTCCTTGCGGAGGTGGAATAAGGACCATGTAGGCCGAATACCCACCAAGCTCAGAAGTCTACAGAGGAAGTTAGATGACACCCAGAGAAGAAGTTTTTCTCCAGTAGCTGAGTTTCAACATAGGGAAATTTGTAAGGAAATGGATGTGTTACTGGAAAGAGAAGAAATGTTATGGAGGCAGAGATCGCGAGTCTCATGGATGAAATATGGGGACAAAAACACAAGGTTTTTCCATGAACATGCAAAAATGAGGGGTCGGCGGAACTTAATTCAGACTATTGTAGATGATCAGGGGGTTTGGCATACATCTACTGAGAGCATTGGTAGTGCCTTTTGTGATTATTTTCAGGGTTTGTTTGCTTCTAATGGGCTTCAGGAGGCAGGGGCAGCCACTGAGGTGGTCAAGCCGCTACTCACTCCATCTCAAAATTTGCGTCTCAATCAAGTTTTCTCAAGAGAGGAGATCGAAACTTCTTTGGGTAAAATGTTTCCTACCAAGTCCCCAGGAGTGGATGGTATGTTGGCACTGTTTTATCATAAGTATTGGGGGGTGGTAGGCAATGATGTGGTAGGGTTTTGTCTTAATGTCTTGAATGGGGGTGCTAGTGTGAAAGAAATAAATCACACACTTTTGACGCTCATTCCCAAGGTAGAAAACCCAGTAAAAGTTACGGAGTTTCGGCCAATTAGTTTTGTGTACGGTGATCTACAAGATGATTTCTAAGACTATAGTTAACCGGTTGAAGCCTATTATGCCGCTTATCATCTCTGAATTTCAGAGCACTTTTGTCCCTAAAAGGTTGATTACGGATAATATTATTGCTGCTTTTGAAAGCATCCATGCTATTAAACGACGTGGTGGGAGTAAGTTAAAGAAAATGGTTTTAAAGCTAGATATGTCTAAAGCTTATGACAGAGTGGAATGGACCTTTATTGAGGCTATGCTTAAGCGTTTGGGCTTTACCGAAGGGTGGGTGGAGCTAATTATGGATTGTATATCCACGGTTACATACTATGTTCAAGGTCGGGGGGTGGCTTCCGGATTGATTGTTTCATCAAGGGGGCTGCGTTAGAGAGATCCTCTCTCTCCTTATTTGTTTTTAATTTGTGCAAAGGGACTGTCTGCTTTGCTTTCTAACGCACTCAGAATCAAGCATATTAGCGGAATTTCCGTGGCTCAGGGAGCACCTACTATCTCTCATTTATTTTTTGCTGATGATAGTCTATTTTTTTGTAATGCCCACCTAGCTTATTGTGATTCTTTGCTTCAGATTATAAGCTTGTATGAGTGAGCATCTGGTCAGAAAATTAATTTTGATAAGTCTGCAGTATGTTTTAGCCCCAACACTGATCCGGTGATGAAGCAACTGATTGCTGACATGCTTGGAGTGCCGATTGTTACTTGTCATGAACGCTACCTAGGGCTGCCCACCTTAGCCCAACGTAGCAAATCCCGGATGTTTAATCACGTGCGTGAACAAGTGTGGCGCAAGCTTAATACTTGGGATACGAAGTTGTTGTCAACGGCTGGCAAGGAAGTCTTAATCAAGGAGGTTGGCCAAGCATTACCTACTTATACAATGGGAGTTTTTAAGTTTTCAAAATCCTTGTGTCAGGAACTATCTGTTATGATTGCAAGGTATTGGTGGGGGAAAAGTGGCAGGAAAGGAATTCATTGGTTGGGTTAGAGGAAATTGTGTAAACCAAAATGTCGGGGGGGGTCTCGAGTTCAGACACTTTGAAGCTTTTAATAAAGCCATGGTTGCAAAACAGGCTTGGCGTATTTTAGAGAACCCCACATCTCTGGTTGCTAAGATACTTAAAGCCCGATATTTTCCAGATTATGATTTTATGCAGGCTAGTTTGGGGAGCTCGCCGTCACTGATATGGAAATCTATTCTGTGGGGACGTGAGGTTATTGAGGGGGGGCTTGCTGTGGAGGGTGGGCAATGGAGTTTCTATCCGGGTTCTCCAAGATAGGTAGGTCTCGAAACCTTTTACGTTTAAACCGATGATGACTAGAGGGTTGGAGCAGACTGCTATGGTCTCTGACTTTCTAACGACTTCCGGCTCTTGGAATTTATCACTATTAGAGCAACACTTTAGTTTGGATGATCGGGATATTATTGCTGGCATCCCTTTGGGATCAGTTTCACAGCGGGGTGATAGTAGATACTGGTTTTTCTCAAAGAACGGGAAATATTCCGTTAATACGGGGTATCGTGTGGCGATAAGGCAGTGCGATGAGGATTTTGGAGTGGGGGGATCAGATCAGAGGGCTCAAGAAGGCTTCTGGATGCGAATTTGGAAGCTGGCTATCCCCAACAAAATTAAAATGCTGCTATGGCGGGCATGCATGGAAATTTTACCTACTGCAGTCAATTTGGTTAACAGAAGGGTGCTTACATCTCTTGTGTGCGCCAGGTGTGGGAATTATTCTGAAGATTCTTACCACGCTCTGTGGTCCTGTAAATCGAGCAAAAAATTCTAGAAGTGTACCCATTTTTTCCGGCGAATTAATTTAGCGGGAGGCACTTTTGCAGATGCCTTTGAGGCGGTGGCATCAAGGCTGTCGGAAGCTGATTTAGAGCAGTTTGCTTGCTGTGTGTGAAGTGCGTGGAAACTGTGTAATGATTTTTTGCATGGGAAACCGATTACACGGGTGGATCATCTGGTGGAAAATACGTTGGATATGCTGGCAAGGTTTAAGTCATGTGAGGAGCGGTCCAAGCTCCCCTTGTCTCTCCACAGGTTCGTTGGTTGAAACCAAGGGTCAATGCTCTTCTCCTTAACTGTGATGGGGTTGTGGGAAGTGGGCAAGGTGATCGAGGTCTAAGGGGATGTTGTCGTGATCACAATGGAAATTTTATCTGTGGTTTCACAGCTGCTGGTCCATCTGGTCTGGATGTTTTGGGCACGGAGTTGGTGGCGGTCCGGGAAGGTTTGTTGATGATGGGATACATGGGTTTTTCTCATTTTACCATTGGGCTTGACTCTCAGGAAGCTGTTTCGTTTCTTAAAGATGGGGGGGACTGGTGGGGTAATGTTGGGAATGTGGTGGAGGATGTTCGTTCTTTAATGGTTGATTGAGAGGTGGCTGGAGTGTTCTACCAACACAGGAAAGGTAATGGGGTGGCACATAGGCTAGCCCAACACGGGTTGAGAGTGAGATCTCGGCTGTTTTGGAACGACACTGCTCCTCCGTGGTTAAGCGGGCTGTTAGATAGGGATATAACAATGGTGTAGTTCTTTGTTTGTTTTCGAGATGCGATAGTACTTTTTTTTCCTTGACCGGATTTTCCCCTACGGGGGGTTTTGGATGGCAAGGTTTTAATGAGGCCACACTAACGCTCTCCGTCCGTTTGTAAACTCTTTTCGTTGGCTGGTGCCATGGTTGAATAAATATCTCCCTTAAAAAAAAAAAAAAAAAAAAAAATAATTCAAATTCATAATCTTTCTCTTGTTCACATCTTAAAACTCAAGCAGACAATTAGTTTCGTTTGTGCTATTGTGGCGCATAGTATTTTGGATGGCATATGTTATACAGTACAGTTCTTTTTAGCCAAGTATGTAAGATTATTGTAAGAAATAATTTATCTTTTCTTTTTTCTTTTTCCTTTTTTTTGGTTTTTTTGGTAAGTACAGGAACATAACTTAGCAAGAGTAACAAAATTATGGTATCTTTGCTATTCCCAATGTACATTGCATATCTTAGTAAAGTGTTCTTTATATATTTTTCTAGAAAGTGTTTTGACATGTCTAGTTTTTTTAGAAAGTGTTGTTGGAATATATAGCAGCTTTTTTCTTTCCTTACAAAACGATAAATAAATAAACCTGCCTTTATTTAAAAGAAGGGCTTTATCAAACAAGTTAAAAGCACTTTATGATAATGAAAAACGAAAACCACTAGTGGGTCAGTCAGCGGGTCTCTAAAAAAGTGTTTTTTAGAGAAGCACTTTAGTATTTCTTTATGAAAAGAAATGTCCTGTTATAAATGTCTGAAGTCTAGCACCTGCAGGCTGCAGTGCAGTGTACACCTGTGAGTGAGCGAAGTATGTACTTTCTTGCTGGTGCAGCTTTTCATTTTGTACGACTTATGCTGAAATGCAACGTCACATGGATTCCAAATATTTTTCGGAGATGATAAATTAACACCAAGGTCTTAAATATCGATAGTTTTATAAATATCGGTGGTTCAAAAACACGGAAATATTAATAGAAATATTGAGAAAATATCGATATCGATAAAATTGGATAAAAACCATGGAAATTGTGATAAATACATAGAAATTTTTAATGAAACTTTAGAATAAGTTTATTTAGTCAATTATCTATTATTTTGACACAAAATATTGGAATGAAATGCATTGAATAGTGGCTTTGTGTGATTTAAGTTGATTATATTGCGACCTGACAAACTCACCAACCAACGCACGCACATATGGAAATGTGCTAAAATATCGCTGGCCCAAAAAAAACGATGAGTTCATATCGCGATATTATCAATAATATCGCAATATATTTTGTCCAATTAAAGTTGCAACTTGAACGAAAATATCGTTACCGAAATATCGGCGAAATTGTCGATATTTTGTTCTATAATTAATACACATCATGTAAGAACGACAAAGAAAAATTCTTGTCATAGACAGAGCAAATAATATTTTCCCTACCTTTTTTTTTCTTTACAAAATCTTGCATAAATACAAGCCAATCTATCTCATATGTTAAGATCAAGGGTTAATTTTCTTTACAAAACAGAATAAATACAATCTTTGTTTGACAGTTTCATTATGAAACACATAATATATTGCTCTATTGTCATTTATCCTGCATTTTATATTATCAAATTGCGAATTCTGTAGTCATTTATTCAGTAGGAAGATGAAAGTTTCGTAAATTTACATATTTTCAATGATAATGGTCTCAATAATGCCGAACATAGAAAGAAAATTTTGTATTCACCTCTCAAAGTCCCTATGGTATAGAAATTTATGATGAAATCAGCCAAATTTGTAGTTTATTAGAGAATAAGAACATGCAATTTAGGAATGAAACCTTCAAATTTGTGATTACGACAACATTTTTACTTGGCTGTGATGAGTTTAGCCTAATGGTGGTTGGATGAGTTTAACTTGTAAAGTTCATGTAACAAAAAGATTAAAGCACACTTATCAAACAGAAATTGACGTTGTGGTAATGCTTACCACCCTTAATTGGTGGTGGGCAAAAATGCTCTCAATTTTAACACGTTACATCTCCTATAAGCGTACACTGACATTTGAGAGAACACTGATTAGTATTTTGTCCACAAAGTAAAAGCGATTCCTGTAATAGCGGCAAAATGCTTTAAATTGCCTTAGAGGAAGTGACAAAGTGCCAAGAAAATGAGCACACAAATTAACGAGCAATGACATTGAGAGGATGAAAATGCCTTTTTTTTCTTTCTTCGAGACAAAATATAAAGGGACATTTCAGAAACGCATGTTCACAACAAGAAATTTTTTTTTATTAAAATCAGAAATGCATATAAACCATCCAACCGACACAATTTTGAGTGTAATTATTTTTCTTGGGTAGGAAGATGCAGTATTCAGCGAAGAATACTTGTACCATAGCTTAAATGGGGTATCATGGCAACTAATGTACATTTTCTGAGGAGAGCAACTAAATGTACATTTTCGGATGAGAAACTCACGCATTGGCCATTTCAACGTCACCGCAATTATCACGTACTGAAAGTTATAAACTCAAATGACCATCAACAAAACAAAAATTACTGAGCTTGTCAAGTGACCGGTTACCAGATCTGGGTTGAAACATTTTGAGGCCTATAGCGTCGTCTTCACACCACCTGTCAAAAATCAATCCAGTTTTCATTAGCGAATAGGCAGCTTACTTGCACTAGTGAAATCAAGCACACTACAAGGAAGCTTAGTTGTATCAGTAAAATCGTGCGTAATTTGATTGTTTTTAGAATACCAGTAACTAAGCATCCTATCAAAGAGTACACCAATATGATAATCAGAGTGATGATAGAATTCCATTAGATGATATACTTCAATCCTTGGCAATCAAATACTTCTTTTGTCAATAAGAATTTTTTTAGGGAAAAGATGCCAAGGGGATGCCATGCCAACAGTACACATGATGCAACTTAAAAAGGAAATAGGAAAGACAAATCTAAAAAAATGAAATGATAAAGAAAGAACCTTCTTCAACCAATCAAAGAATAAGAGTCTAATTTTTATGTCCAAGCTGAAATGTTCCACCTCATAAAGGGAAAGCTGTACAGTTTCTTCCTAAACATAACACCGTAAGATGCACAAGGAGGCTCACTTCAATTCTTTTTAGTTTTATTCAATCATTATTCTTGTTTTAGAACAGTCTACCACGTTATCTTGTCTTTACCTTATCTGGACCAAAATACCATAAAATCAAAATATAGCACCAAATTTCCAAATAACTAGGCAATGAATTAACTAAATAAAACACCATTTCTTCAACCTTCTTGCATATTCATTTACTCACAAACCCTCCCTCTAACAATCATATCAGCAATAGGTAAACCTTCTCTCGGGTGGCTGTCCATACAAAAGATCCACCTACGGTGTTGCATTTGCTTTCTAAATTGCAATGCTAGGAAAACTAAAGTGGACCCTCCAATACAGCCACATAGAAAGATGTTAACATGCAACTGCTTACGATTGCAAAGCTCCATCCAACTTCATCCCCTCCATCTCCCCCCTCCTCTCAGCACAGCCTCATGCAAAGCATTTTAAAAATCAGCCATCAACTCCACCTCCCTACAAAAATCTGATAGGACAACGTCCACAGATGATAACATTCCTCCAGTGACAGGCATTAACAGGATGGATTGTCCTTTTAACCTTTCTCCAGCCACTCAGTACTACTTGGTGGCTTCCCTTTCCAATTATTATGTGACGTCATGAATCAATTCATTACTTACATACCTAAAGAAATATTTTTCTTTGATAATACACAGTTGATTTTTCTTGTCATTATCATGGTGAAAAAACAAGAATCGCCCACCTTTATTTTCACGTTCTTTAATCTGCGCAAGTGCTACGGAAATTTTAGCACCAACAAGTGCATTGTTCTTCACCAGTGCAATGTCTAATTGTTGGTTAAGAAACTGAGTTGATAAATCAAACAACATCAACAAGTGCATTATTCTTCATACTGCAATGCCTAAGAAATGCTTTCCAAGACATCCAATACATCTTAGACTTGGAGAAGTCACCACCATAGGTTAGGACACAGAAAATGAACATAATGATATTATTGTGCAAAGAATAATAGATAAAGGATACTCGAAGCCAGAGAAGCTCCTCCAGTTAATTCATTCACTCTCGCAAGCAAAAATGGAGTTGCAGCATTTCCAATTATGTTCTTATCCCTGACAAAGCAAATTCATTTTTAGTAATTTAAAAAGATGAGTAAAAAATATTATTAACAGAAACAGGTGACTCTAGATTATTGATGAGAGGAAAATCAGTTTACCTAGCTTCTTCAAGAGCTCTCTTGATTGCAGACTCAATTAATCTTCCAGAAGCGGCGTGCTCTTTGGGAATTGGAACAGCAATCAAAATTCCAGTTCCAAGCTCAAGTTTCAGGTTCGCATCTATAAAACAAAAAACAAAAAATAAGAATATTCAAAACAGGGGTATTACTTTAAATTTTGCATATAATTTCTTCTAGAAAAATAAATGAATTCACTTTTGTAACTTGCCTATAAGCTGAGCACAGTCTTCTGGGGTATCTACACGGCAAGGCACCTAGATTTTCAAGTCATGATTGAACCAAAGCCATCAGTCAGATATATATTCGAAACAAATTATGTTAAACATGTGGGCATAAATGGTCCAACATAAAGTTTTCTGCATTTGCATATAAGCTGAGCAGTCTTCTTTCCTTCCATGTATTATCACCATAACGTTTTCTACATTTCACACTTAGCATTTCTCTGACCAGAGAGACGTGTTTCTTTGATTCTGTCCCACCTCTCCCATGCCAATTGTGCTAAGGCTCATAACCCTAGCAGTTGGGCCAACATATCAAAATGAGAGAGAGGCTGACATTCAGTCTGCTCCAGACGCGCAATCAGGAACAGTTTTTCTTCCTACTAACCTCTAAAGAGGTTTCGCTGATCGTTTTCTGGCCATCAAGATGATCAAATGAACTCAACTTCACGTGGATGGGTTTTATTCCATAGCAAATATGGTAATAGCGGAAACAGAAAACAGAAGCACTTAAGGCAAAATTGTGGTTAAACGCCATTTTTAAACATGAATTTGATTGAGGATAGAACAACATTGATAACACTATTGTTGTTAGATGGAGAAACATAGCATTTTGAAAGAGAGTTGACCATCAATACCTTGCAACCACTTGTTTCAGAGAAAAATGATGGAAATTCATTGGTCCTATAAGCAGCAACACAAACTCCCTGAGTTTCCTTTTGTTTTTTCAATAACAAAAAAAAAAAAAAAAAAAAAAAAAATATTTATAGTTGACAATCTGCGCTCTATTACTTGTAATCATATACATGAGATAGTTTAGTGCAGACCAAATATTCAAGGGTCCTTGGGACATCCAATATTGATTTTACACCAGCAGAGATGACAGCTACTGGTGTCCTTCCAAGCTCAGTAAGATCAGAAGATATGTCCATTGCTGCAAAAGGAAAATAAAATTTTGTAACATTAATATCGCACCATAACAAACTCCTTTAACATCCGAACAGACAGTCTGCAAACATTTTTGGGCCCAAGGTGAAGAGTTTCAAATAAATATCAATTTCTTTATATGAACCATACAAGGCAAGATAAACATGCAAGTCTTATCAGGTTGAGTTGCAGCATGCGCATAAGAGCCAGACGAAGTAATAGGTCTTTATACAATATTAGTCATTTATGCAACAATGGGCAAAAGGACTTGCAATGATAATCTCCAGCTCTAGAAATCTGGGGGACTTTATATATGAGCAGTAATTATCCACAAGTTAAAGTTTCACATACATTTTGGTAAGAAAGATACTGTAGACTGCTGTTGGTTTCTATTTCTTTTGCACAGAATTCAATGGATAGCTTTTTTGAAAGCAATGGTTACAACATGTTTGTGCATGTTAAGTTGTCCAAGAATTATTTCATCTCTATAAGGCCAATATGTGACAACAGATGACAATGGATCTTATATGGTTTCAAAAATTATGTTCTGAACAGTCTCAGTTAACTCAGTTTTTTGATCTCTTAATTTAAGAGTTAAATGTATTTTTATATGCAGGGGCAGCTCTTGAATTTCACAAAGTCGTGGTCATACTTTTATATTTTCCTTAGTTAACTTTGTTCTATGATTTTCTCTGAATATTAAGAGTATGTTGATATTTCCTTGGACTTAAGTTAGTCCCTGACTTTCTAGTCCTAATAGGAAAAGGTGGTTTTATATTAAATATCATTCTAGTCCTTAACTTAGCATTGGATAATGGGATATTCACTATTTTGAGTGTGTAGAATGTGTTAAGGGAGTCTCCATATGCATGTGTATTTGTAACTGTTCATAAGTTAGTGTTCACATCCCTAGAGGAGTCCCAAAATCCCTCTTTTTCTGACTTCTTTGCAGCATCATCAGTAGATATTTTTTTTACCCAACTAAACCAAAAGCTCTGAACCTCAAATAACCATTTTAAACAGCCCTGAAAAACTATACATCAGCTGCTTCCCTGAACAGCCCTGCACCTAGATTTCCAGAAAGCAGGCCCTATCTGCCTACTAAATTTCCCAGCCATTTTCCTATTCCCAATTTAAACCTGAATACCAAAACCCTCAAGTAAAATTTTAAACATCCTCAAAACCCATAATCTGCTGCTTCCTAGAAAAGCCCAACATCCGGATTTCTAGACCCCTGTTTGCCTATTAAATTCCCCAGCCAGAATGTGATATAAAAAAACCCTAAACCTATTCTGCCATCTACATAATATCTAGTACCTAATCTACTCCAAAAGAAAGCCAAGGATACAAGCCGACATAGAAGGGTTCCTAATCTGTCCTACATTAGGGTCCTTTGTCTACTATGTTGCTTATCTGTACTCCAATATAGACCATTTGGTGAGCCATAGACTCAAGTAACACAGAAGCCATATGAATTGGCTTGGATTAGGAGAAAAATCAACAATGAAGATATTAGGAATATGGCCATATGAAGTCATGACTCTTTGACTTTTGATATCCAAAAGCATGGGTGGGGACATGAACAAAGCCGATTTCTTTTATGGACTGTTAGTAATAAATAACACCAATATATATGTAGCATTGAACTCACTATGCTCCCCATGTCTATGTACTCCTCCAATCCCTCCAGTAACAAACAATGGTATGCCAACCTGCAAGAATATGCAGTATCAAGTATTAGAAAAACATTCATTAATATAATGACAGAAATAGCTTTCTTTATTTTTGTATAAACTAAACAAGAAAAGAAGTCCTTCGGGAAAGCTGATCATAGATTGGTTACCATAGAAGCAAAAAACATGGTTGCAGAAACAGTAGTTGCTCCATTCCCTCCGGTTGCCACCTAAACAAGAGTCAGCACGTCATCTTGTAAATTTGGCATCAGAAATGACTGTGGAGGAATTATAGCGACGATTCAGGAATTCCATTTGTCAGAAAGTTCTTGAGCATACGTCATAACAGCGTAGGGAACCTCATAATTATGTGGCTATGAAGGTTATTTTATGTAGAAACCAGCATGCTAATAAAAGCGGAAGTATAGGTAGCAGACAATTTTGAACATGTAAGTTCAATGCCACAGATTGAGCCAACAAAATAATCATTTTATGGTGGTATAAGTATTGAGGTGTGCTTTCACAAATTATGCGGGTCTAAATTTGTCAACTTCTTGGCACGTGTTCTGCTATCACCATATATGGCTAGCAGCACAACACAGAATATAAAACTAAGAGTTCAGTATGTTCCATTGATCATATTGGCTAATACTATCAGATAGAATAAGTGCAATGCATCAGTTACTCACAACATGTGCGATGTCTCTTCGAGCTGTCTTCTGAGCTCTGGGTCCGAGATTGGCAAGCTTCTCCAGTTCTTCCATACTCAGACCTACACAAAGAAATAATTAGGCAACAAAAAGAACCCTCCAGAGTAATAATTTAATTTGTGACAAAAATTATCTTAGCAGATGATACCATTCCATAAGAATACTGTATAGTATTTTCTGAAATCGCTAAGTAATTTTATCCCACTAGTTTGTAATTCGGTGGGACAAATTTCGCTTTGTAACCAGTGGGGCAAATCATAGCACAATCATAAGAAGACATATATTAGAATTTAACAAAAGCTACCTCCAAGCCTAAATATTCATCAAGAAAACAGAAGAACAAAGTTAAATATAAACACCTACGCAAGGTATGCCATCCAAAATAGCAATCGTGGCAGGAACAGCTCCATTTTCCCTCACAACTGCCTCAACTTCCCTTGCGGTTTCCAAGTTCTTAGGATAGGGCATCCCTGAACATAAGGAAAAACAAAATTCAGCAAGAAAGTCAAAAAGTGCAGTTCCTCACATACACATAAGCACTGCCCATGAACCTATTCACACATAATCAGCTATCAGTACAGAGCCATACTCCTGTTTCCACGAATCAAACCCGCAACCATGTCATTCGAAGTACCTCAAACCATTGTGTCAAAGCGCAATGTATAATGTATCAAAATCGAATGAATTATGATACCATAAAAAATCCAAATTGGGTTTCATTTAATTAACTCAAAAGGGAAAATCATGGAAGAAAAGGAAAAGGAAAACAACTGAAAATACAACAAATTACATAATGAGAGAGAGAGAGAGAGAGAGAGAGAGGAGAGAGAGAGAGAGAGTTACCATGGGAAATAATGGTGGATTCAAGAGCAACAACAGCATGGTCATTTGACAAAGCTTCAGAAACCTCTGGAGAAATCTTGATAAACCCCACACCACCCTTAAAAAAGAAAATGGAAATAAAAACTCTAAAAATGGGAAATTTGGTAGACAATGTCAAAAAGAAAAAGAAAACCAAAAGATTAAACGAAAGAAAAAGAGGGGAAGATGTGATTGGAGTGTTAGGTACCTTATTTGAGTGCGAGGGATGCAAGTGTCCGTGGAGATTAGAGAGTCTTGAGAGAGCCGAAGAAGACGACGCCATACCCTTTTCCTGTTTACTTATGTTTCCTGTTTTTGTTTTATTTTCTTAATATTTGCTAGAATCACGTGTTTAGGACTTTGCTTGGTGTTTTAAGATGGGATAAGTAGTGGGCTATGGGATATAGTTGTTCTTATTTTGCAGTTAGTACTGTTGATAGTGGCTGGCTGAAGAGCTCTCTCTTTTGTAGGATACACATTATAAAGTTGTACAACTGAATGGAATAAGAAAGAAGATTATTATTAACCAGATAACTTTGAGTTCCATAAACCCCACTTAAAAGAGGTCAAGGGTTGCTTCATAAGCCCAAATTTCATATTGTTATTCCCAGTATTTTCCTTCAATTTATATAATATAATAGTGTTAGAGCATTTTCACCCATTTGTCATGTCAAAAGGCAAGGGAAGGCAAGAGTTATTATTACTATTCACATAAATAGTGCCGCCCTTGCAATTTTTTTGTTGGTTTTCCATCCATTTCATGACAACCTAAAGACAACCACTATTCACATGAGATATGAGGGGAGAAATTTGTATAGAGCCTTGGTGTGGGAAATGAAGAATATGGCTAGATATTTTATTTTAAAAAATTGAAATTTTTGGTTTTTTTTTAAAAAAATTATTATTTTTTGGTTGCTGACGTCGTCACTAACGTCACAGCCCTTAGACAACAGTTCGGGTTGTTCTTGGCTTTTGGCCTTCTAGGGTTTAGTGGAGCCCATGCCTTGCCTGGGCTGTTTTGTACAGCTAGAAACGACTTCACGGACCTAGGCCTCCTCTTGCTCGGACTGGGGGGTGCAGTGGAAATGCTCTTAGGAGTTACACTTGTAAGTCGTAAAGTGGCAAACTCGCCCGCGACATAGCAATTTGCTTCCTTGTTAGAGCAACTCCACCCATTTGCCCTAGCCATGGCAAGGGGGGGAGCTAGGGCAGCCACTATTCACATGAATAGTGGTTGCCCTTGCAAAATCCGAATTTTGTGTTTCCACCCGTTGCCCTTGCTAAGGGCAGTTACTATTCATTTTTTTGTTTTATTCACAACTTTTTTTACCTCAATAATTAATTTTGATAATATTTTCGGATAAGATTTTCGGGTTCCTACGTGTCAATACTATTCATATCTCATAATCGGATAAAATTTTCAATTTCAAATTTCAGATAAATTATAAAAAAAAAAGGCTGGTATTTATAGAAAAAAATTCATTAATTTTTGGGTATTTTTTTAAAAAATTTCCGAATTTTTTCCAGTATTTTATTGCAAAAAAATTGGCTGCCGTTGGATTGGAGGAAAAAATCAGATCGGAGAGCCCAGACGACGCCACGTGGCAACAGGAAAAAAATTCAAATCAGCGAGGTACTGTAGCGGGGGTACTGTAGCAAATACTGTAGCGCTACAGTAACCCCCCTCGTTTTGGACCTCGGGTAAGACTTGCCTTCGGGCCAGCCCGAGGAGGTGGGTCCCACACCCCCCTCGGGCCTGGGCTGCTCCGCTGGAACGCCATTTTTTTTTTCCCCCTAGCCTTGGGCTGGGCTGCAGCGGTGGAACCGCTCTTAAAGGAGAGCACCCATGTTTTGCAATTGAAAAAATAAATATAATAAACTATTGTATTAACAAAAGGAAGTGTTCAGAATAATTTGCAAGGACTTGTAGTTATTTGACTTTCTATTTTTAGGTTTTTTTTTAAAAAAAAAATCATAAAAAATTATAAAAAGAAAAGAAAAATACATTGAAAATTGCTACAAATTCCTTACAACATTATCCTCGACTATCAAACCCCAAAAATCAATTTTGTCATAGGAAAATTGAAAAATTATGATTAGTGGAAGAGCTCGAGGAAGTTTAATGATCTTCAAGTTAGTGTCTAATTTGATTTGAGAATTTTGTTTAAAATTTTCATATAAGTCAAAGTTGGATTTTAGAGCTTCAAAGATGAAAATGTCACAAGGAGTTTGTAGGAATTTTGTGTGTATTTTTTGATTTTTTGTTCTTCTCATTGAACATTTAGATGCCAACTAAACCAAGAAGTTTATATATATATATATATATATATATATATATATTCCAATTGAACATCTCACTGCTAAAATGAAATAAGGTTTAGCATCTCTATACAACATGACTTAAAATATTTGGGGAATAACATCTTATAGGAGTGGTTTTGTGAATCTGTTTGGCATGTTTTCTGAAAGATTTGTGAAGATCTGTCGCTGTCATGATGGTAGAATATGAATGAATCTGTAAATGGAGGAAGAAAATCTGGTATCCATAATGCAATTTCCTTACACAGGTTACAAGAACAATGGTCAATCAGTTCGGATACATACACGAACAATACAACAAACCTTCAACCCAAAACAAAGAAAACCAGTTCAATGATGAAAAACATACATGGACAATACATCAAATTTATTGACACAATCAGCCAACTACAAAACGGGATGAGAGCTGGTGGATGCATAAATGTCAAATTCATCCATCAAGGACACAATCGGACTAGATTGTGTGTTCGGCATGCTCTGAGTTGTGTCGTCATGTTTCCGGGGAAAGAACTGCATCATTACAACACAGAATGAGAACTTACTATGAAAGCACTCATGTGGAAGATTAAAAAAAATATTAATTTGCATTTCGGACTAGTTAATCAATGTAGGACAATTGTGTCTATCATGATCAACCGACCTACACTCGGTACACCATCGTTTCAATTGGTCCATTGCCTTCTCTTTGCCTTTCACTCTTACTCGAAGTGGATCCATTAAAGTAACTGTTTGAGAATCGCTGGCCACGGCTTTACCACTTCCTTGTGCATGCCCAATTTCCTGCCCCGTAGACTCTATCTTTTCCTGCAGACCCTGTAAAGTTTCTAAGAGTAACTTCCCAGCTTCCTCGGACATTGATACAGAATCAATTAGAGTAATGGCTAGTTTAGACAACGTAGATCTCCTCATTAAAACACACCTATCAACATGATCTTTAATTTTAATGGCATCACGATCAAACACCAACGCAGACTTCTCTCTTTGCATCCACCTTTTTAATAAATACTTATCTGGCAAATATTCGACTTGCTCATGTTTTAGAAAAGCCAATACATGCCTGCATGGAATTCCACAAGATTCCAAGTGTTTGCAACTGCAAGAAGCCAGATCAGCGGATACATCATACACAACTTCTTTGACTTTAGAAACCCCGGGTTTTATCCTCTCAGTTACTTTATAAACCCTTTGTCTATCATCCGACGTTGTACATTGAAGAAAACATTTAAGGCTCTTCAATTCTTCCTTCTGAAACTTTTGATACAGCGCCTTTGTATACAAGCCTGCCACCTGGGTTTCCATTGATGTCTCCAAAAGGCTTGCAGGTTTTTCATTACAGTCAACATGGTCGGCATATAACTCCTCATGCCGCTGCTTAGCAAGACCTCGTTCAAATCGTACTACAAAATCCATCAACGAATTCTTTTGTGAAACATATGGCTTGAAGAAAGCATGTGAGCTTTCAGGTTGCTTACTACTCAACATTCCAGCAGAGAAAACATGTTTCACATAGGCTGGAACCCACTTATCACGCAAATCATAAATTGAACTCAACCAAGGATGATCATTTAATCCATTTTCTGTAATCAAGGTAAGCCATTTTGATTCAAATTCTATTGTTGTGTCTATATCCCATATGCAAGCATTTAAGTCTGAGAATCTGTCTCTGAGTGTTGGGGGATTTACCTTTTCAGAAAATTTGTTCAAAATATGCCATATGCATAATCTATGATATGTAGTTGGGAGAGCTTGCACAATCGCCTTTGTCATGGCTGCTTCGTGATTCGTAATGATCATTTTGGGTGGTGGACAGGGCATGGCATTCTTAAATTGGTCAAATAACCACACAAAAGATTCGGTGGTTTCTTTACTTAAGAAAGCACATGCAAGGATAATTGTCTGCCCATGATTATTCACCCCTATTAACGGCGCAAATACCAATCCATAACGATTCGTGTTATATGTTGTATCAAACACAATCACATCTCCATAGAATTTATAAGCTCGTCTAGATGTTGAATCTGCCCAAAACAAATTAGTCAGCCTTCCACTAGAATCTGCCTCCATCTTGAAATAAAAAGACTCACTCTTTCTTTTCTCAGCCCCAAAATGCTCACTCAGCAGCTCTACATCATGCTCCAGAAGTTGCGTGCGCATGTTCGTTTCCCAATCGTAGAAAGCTTTATTTATACACCCAATGTTTTCCATTCCTCCTGCTTGTACCTCAAGATTACTTACTGGTTGATGAGTAGGTGTATTAACTACACCAAGTTGGTCAATTTGGAGTGCTTTTCTTGATTCTCTAACATCACGGTGAGATCTCAACAAATGCACCTTATCTGGGGTTGTCAATGAATGGTTGTGTACCTCTTCAAACAACGAAATAGAATACTTGTTGGACTCATGACACTTCACAACCCCAATCCTAGCCTTGCAATCTTGTCGTACTTTGACTCTGCGTCTTTTCCTTACCCTGCCTTCTGCTTCGGGTCTACAATATGTACCTTGTTTAGAACATACATATTCTTTCCTTTTTATCTCCCCCGTGAGTCTATCCTTTTTACTTGAATGACTGCGTATGCTGAATCCTGCCTTCTCTGCATAATGATTATAGAAATTATAAACATCTTGAAGTGAATCAAACTCTTTCCCAACTTCTGGTATGGACTCAGTATTGAGTTTGGGTGTAACACAAATGTCAGGATCCACACCATCACCATCTGCATTGCTACTATCAGTTGAGTCCCACACACATACATTCTCATCCATTCTCCCAACAGATTTCGATATTAACCTGAATATGACATCAATTTAAAACCACATCAGTCTATTCAAATCCCCTTAATGAGTTGCAAAGTCAAATGAATATACATACTAATTAAACTTAATAAAATATTATGAAACATAGTCCAGACCCGTGACTTTTCTACCTTCAAGTTAGTATCAACCTCTTCTTCCTTTTAAGTATGATTCTCTGGTTTGGGTGCAGGATGGAACCTGTTCTGAAAGCTGCTTCCAGTTCAGTTGCATTGCCGCTACCTCTTGTTTTCCAGCACCATTCTTAAAAAACATGAAAATTCCATCATGATTTTGTTCCAGCAAGTTTTATACATAAATGTTATTCATTAATATAACTTGAATGAAATAATACCAATTACCAAGTATATTATAAATATATATGTAAAGACAATCATGCTGAGAATTAATAGTGCTCAAACATTTGAAATGATTTCCAATATAAAATGAGTGGTTATTGTATAGCTAATTAAATTTGGGCACATATATAAAGCTGCTAAGTATAATAGTGCTCAAACTATAGTAATAATTAAAGCCCTGCCAATCTAGAAGTATATAAGTTCTATATACTCTCTTTCATGCGTCTGTCACACCAAGTTTATCGTCTACTTTTCAAATTCAGCATCATATAGTAAGACCAACTTAAAAGATAGTATCTATTACAAATACTTGGTATATACTACCATACATATCCAAAGGAACAGCTCATGCATCCCTACAAACTGTACTTGCATGTTGTTTTTCCAGAACCCCAATGAGCTTTTGGGCTATAGCACTTGCATACAAAAAAGACCTGTCATCAAGAAGCTTGGACACAATCAACAATATATTGATCCTCTTCTTCTACACAAGTTTTAGTATATACGGTATACCTTCTTTGTGTTTGGAACCAAACTCAACAATGCAGCGTACTTGCTATTCAACTAGACTGTCTGATGATTCTCGGTGTCAAAGTGTTTGGTCCCTTTGGCATATCTTCCTCTTCAAATAGAACCCATATCTTTGGAGAACTCCAAACTTCATTACCAAATTGCCTCCCATTTATTAATCCCATTTGGGTAAACCCCTCCTCCCATCCCCTCTCTTGCATCCCCACCACCACTATACTAAACAAAGGCCCATTTCTTGAGCCTCGCAAGCTGTACCCATGTGGGAAGGCAATTCCCTGAGCATCCAGCTAAGCTGAAAACAGTCGTTGCTGCATCCAATCATGAACACCATGAACAAAAATGCACTCATTGGGGCAATTCGTCAAACACCTTGGGGGCACATTTTTAGGCCACATCCTAAAATCAAAGGCTAATGCAAACTACAACTAACGCATCATTAATAATCTCAAATTTGACATAGATGAAATCATTTACCTGTAAATGGAGTTTCAAAACTCAGCCGTCGATGTGGTTGCCGCCAAATCTTAGAAAATAAAAGGTTTCGAGCTCACAAGTTCAATCTCTAACTTGAAATCTAAGCCGTCTAGTTTGATCATGTGGCTAATAATGCAGTCCGCATCGACCTAAGGTGCGTAATTTGTGTGGGAAATTTTGTTAATTTCAAGCCATGAGGACATTTTGGTAATTTCATGCCAGAAATACAACCACCACAAGTCCTTTACATATAACTGCTCGTTTCATCTTCTCTTTCCCTCCTCTGCTTTTACGCTCTCTCTCTCTCTCTCTCCTCTCTCTCTCTCTCTCTCTCTCTCTCTCTCGCTCATGGCTTCCAGACTCTCACTCATTTCCATTCCCAATCTTCCAACCCCAGCTAGAACATTCCCAAAACACCCTCAACAAATACCTCTTTTTTCTCTTCCACCTCATAGTTTTCATGTAAATCCCTCCTTCAATTCGAGGACCATTTCGAGCTCTAATGGAGGATCATCGCCAGCACTTCATGCTGTCCGAGAGGAAGTGATCCCATCCACCAGTTCAGATTCCACCAGTGATTCCAAAACTGCCCCTTCCTCCTCTTCCAAGGTCGTTCTCGTCATTGGAGGCACCGGCGGTGTTGGTATTTTCACTTGTTCCTTCTCTCGTTTGTTGCTCTTCATTTGCTTATAGTGCTCTTTATATGTATATATGTATATATTTCTTTTGCTTCTGAATTTGTTTCGAATTCCGTTGAGGGGTTTGTGTAATTGCTGTTTCTTTATGTGGGTTATATAGCAAAATGAGTCTTGTGATTGTGGAAATGCTAGTGAAGTATGTGAACTTAAATCAAACAATTATTCCTCTTTTGGGATGCAGGTTTGAGTAAATGATACGGTTTTCCTCCAAGGTTTTTAGTTTTGCACATACCCTTTTGTGAATTTTATTGGGAACTTTGTAAATTTTGGTGCTTTGTTAATCTCATTTCAGGTCAGCTGGTAGTGGCTTCGTTGCTCAACCGGAATATCAAGGCACGCCTATTATTGCGCGACCCTGAGAAAGCAACTACGTTGTTTGGTGAACAAGATGAAGAGAAATTGCAGGTACCAATTTCTGTGTAGGTAATTATTCAAGAGATCTCTATCACTCAAATATTTGCTATATTTCTGTTAAGTTAAAGCATAGAACCTGACTATAAGTGTTGAGGCCCTATGATTTTATTTATTAAGATGCAAAATTGTGACTGAACTGAGCCCTGGATTTATTAGAGGTGAGAAGGTGTCATTTGACATCTGGATTTATATTCTCAGCAATGTCTTCTTTCAGCTTAGTTTTAGAGCATAAATACGTTCTCTTTTTTTAAAACTTGTTTCCTTTCCTGAGGAGTGGGTATCATAGCTCTATAAAAACTTGATAGGTCTTCAAAGGAGACACTCGGAATGCAGACGATCTAGATCCATCTATTTTTGAGGTTTGCGCTTTTACTTAGTTATGTATACTTTTTTTCCTATTTTCTGTATTGATAATGGGTCAAGGGTTAATGATTTCTGAATGAGTAATTTTAAAATGTCTTCTCTTTTAGGGAGTCACACATGTGATTTGCTGCACAGGAACTACGGCTTTTCCTTCGAAGCGGTGGGAAGGGGATAATACACCAGAAAGAGTTGGTTAGAGTTCTATTTTGAAATTTTAGCTTTATGAGTGAGCAAGTACCTGCATCTAAGGCATATGCATCATTTATTTTCTGTTTGGATATAGCATGCTGAAAAACAGATTACATCTGGATAGATTAAATAGATGAGCTATACATGAACACGCACAGAACCAAAGATTGCCTGCTCATCTACACATATGCTTTCCGCGCATTTGACTTATAAATTTTTTAATGAAGATTGGGAGGGCGTGAGAAATCTTGTATCTGTACTGCCTTCTTCGCTGCAGAGAGTTGTTCTTGTATCATCAGTAGGTGTAACCAAGTTCAATGAACTGCCTTGGAGGTAAGACAACTTATTTATGGATGTTGAGTTATAAAACCTGTGCCTTTCTTTTGGTTGAGTGAGCACTGGCAAGAAACTATGTTTAATGATTTAATTAATATTAGGGGCCCTTAAATATTGCGTAGTTGGTTCTGAAATTTTCATAATTTCATAAGATCCCAGCAAGGAAACTCTTGTAAACGAAACTTATTAGTTGAAGTTCTCAAGCATAGAAACAAAAAAGATTATTTTCCTCAGTGCAGAGAAATTTCGAAAATAGTTGCGATATTTTGAGACCATAATGGTAAACCAAAGACTGATATAACATTTATTGGGATGAATATTCCTAGCATAAGAAAATTTAAACTTTTTTCTTAGATTAACCTTATTAGATCTATTATCTAGAACATGTATAGGATTAGGGTTAAACCTCACACATAAGGAATAGGTTTGGTTATCAATTGAGAGAAGCTCCACATGCACAATGTATGGGTTGCACATCCACCTCTAGGCCTGCATTCTCCAAGCATGCCTTTGCACCAATGGCTCCTCCGATGAGTCAAGCAATACCTCCATGCTATTACGGCTCCAAAAAGGTTTTTGGTTATGCCACCAGTCTCCACAAACTGATGCACACAAAAGGATCACCAGGTTTATCTTGTCTAGACTTCCAAAGTGAGCTCCTCGCCGATTTCCTTTAAGAAAGTATCTTCACAAGGAGAAGATGAAGAGAGCAAAGTGTGGCCTCAATTTGGCGGATAAGGTTGCTAACTTTACCCTTCTTCATGCCTTTTTATTTGTAATGGAATGGAGGAAGGGACTGCAACTGTCCCTTCCTTATAGGAGACATGCTAGTTGTAGGGATAAGGAAAGTATCCAGTGGCTTGATTCTGGTTCTAGGCACTTTATGGGCTTATGCAGCACATGTAGCTCATACAATCACGTGGGTACCTCGAATTCATGTATTGGGTAAATACATGGTCGTTAGGTGATTAACAATGGTTCAATGTAATATACCAACAATAATTATAATTATAATAAAAATGGTTCAGCATATGCATGGGTTCATTGTATGGCACGAAGCAATGCATTACATTTAATAGGCAGTCTCATAGACCTCCACATAAGGCTTGTGAACCCTTATTTTGAGCCATGAATAAATTTACAGAAAATTTCAGCGAAGCTTATGTATTTCTCTAGGACTGTGGTGCAACCCATCCTAGGTGCAATGCCCAGAGACCTACAGGTGTGGTGCTAGTAGCTTCTATACCTTACCTACTTACAATTTGCAGCAATCAAAGGCCAAAATTCCTGTCCTACATCATGAGAGAGAGAGAGAGAGAGAGAGAGAACTTAAAAGACAATATTGTTCTTTTACAAAATGGTGCTCAGAGCAATTAAAAATTATTTCTTAGTCATAGTGCAGATACAATATTGTGCCTGTGCTGTTCTTCAGGATTAATGTAGGGGTTTTTATATCTCTTATCGTTATGGCTTTGAACAGTTTGAAAGTGTCACGTAAGCTTAATTCTGAACTAAACCATCTTGTACATCCAACTAGTTCACAATGAAGTGGTTTTTCAATCGTCTATTTCTTTCTCACATGGATTAATTATTTAAATTCTTTTATTTTTGTAGCATTATGAACCTTTTTGGTGTTCTCAAATATAAGAAAATGGGGGAGGATATTCTTCGTAATTCTGGTCTATCATTTACAATAATCAGGTTTGTGTAAATTGGTTATGTAACTTTTTTTATTACTGAGAAACCAAAAAAATATCATAGTAATTATGGCAGGCTTCCGCTTAGAGAAAAGCAGCTTTATATCCCTAAAATTGTTGCTTATATCGTATTTATACTTTCTGCTTTGCAGACCTGGTAGATTGACAGATGGACCTTACACATCATATGATCTTAATACATTACTGAAAGCTACAGCTGGCCAACGCCGTGCAGTCCTAATAGGTCAAGGTACACTATCAATTTTCAACGAGCATTGCATAGATAGATTGCAGGTTCAGTTCTTAAGGCTCAATTATAGGTCCTATGGTCTTATACCAAAAATTTAGTCTTAGCACTGCAAAATCTTAAGACAAACGGATGAAGGCTGCTCTGTAAATTGAGCTAATGGAACTAAATCACTAGCTAACGATCACTACCTTAACATGGCCAACTGGTACAAAAGCTGCTTTGGCTGGAAAGAAAATTGCTAACATTGTTTTAGCATGAACCACGAAGAGAGTGGGAGGAGGAGGGGAAGGGTTGAATGTTGGAAACTGCTATTTTAAAACATTAGAGTAGGGACGCTGGGCAATTATGAGTAGTATTACTTTGTTTGCTTATTTCATCAAATGTTACCTTTAGGGGGTTTATACCACTACTGACTTGCTATTCAAAACAGTTTATTCAGTTATTGGTGTCTTTAATGTCGAAATAAGAAAAGGGAATACAAGGTTCCATGATACTTTAGGATGGGCGTTGTTCATAAGTTTTCATATACCTTCACATGAATGTTGCTGCTGTTTAGATTTGTTTGTCCCAGGCTCTCTGAAACTTAATATAATCGATGCTCCCTTACTAGGTGAACCTGGTTCTGAGAACATTGCTCAAAAGCTAGTAACTAATTTCGCATCAAGCTGCACATTGAACCTTAAATTTGTGGGAAGGCTTAATTTAGTTGAGTTGAATATATGGAGATTTAAATAAATAATTGTTGAATGAATTTTCCACAAGATACCAATATATTAGATTTTCCTGTCATGCATGCAAATTCTTCTGGTTTAGGCAGGGATCATCTTGTCTGTGTACATGATTTTGGGATGTGGCGTTAACTAAATTCCTTCCTATCTTATGTCTTTATGTTAATGGGTTTAATCATTTATGGGATCCAGGAGATAAACTAGTTGGAGAGGTTAGCAGACTCGTTGTTGCTGAAGCTTGCATACAGGCATTGGACATAGAATGTACTGAAGGAAAAACTTTTGAAGTTAACTCAGTTGAGGTAATTTTCCGGATATGATTGCAGTCTTGCAGAATATAGAGGGGTATACGTACAATGTATGTCTGGCCTTGCTTTTCAACGTCCCTTGGCATTTGAACTCAGAAGTCAGTCCTTACTTATATTGATGTTTGGGAATGAACTTGAATTTATAGAGATGAAGGGAAGTTAGACAATTTGCTTGCTTGCCTTTATTATTTCCTCTCTTTCCTTTTCTCCTCGGTTTAGAGAAGTACACTGCTTTTGACCCCTTACCATTTGGAACACATTTGATATCGTTGCATAGTTCATTGGAGACCTAGGGGCATGTGATTGAAAACAAGGAGGCCAGTGTTTATGTTAGACCCTTGTATGAATTAATTCCAATTAACCCTACCATATTCTGATGCTTTGAAGTTCTTTCCAGTAGTAAAATCTAGTACTGTGCAGGGAGAAGGTCCAGGAAGCGATCAGCAAAAGTGGAGGGAATTATTCAAAGCTGCCCAAGCTCAATAACTGTACTCTGCTTCTAATTCATGCATGTATACTATGAATTGCTTGAAAACAAGAAATATAAGCAATGATCTGTCTGTCTATATATTGTAAATAATCACTACGTAATATTTCAATTTAGATCTGTAAATTTTGTCCAATGTCCTTCACTTTTTTTTACAGTTATGAATGCTCATTTCAACCTGTAAAAGCGATCACATTTCCCAAATGTTGCACATTGAAAAGTAGTATATCTTGTGGCTTTTATCTGAGTTCTTTGGTACCATTTCTTTGCAAGTTTTTGTTTTTGGCTTCGCCTTCAAGGCACAGTTCAGTTATTCTTATATGAATGACAGAATATGATTGAACTGCACAAAGTAAAACTGGCCCAACCTTGTCACTAAAATAATTGAACTGCACAACACAGAGTCCAATTAGCGTTTTCTGTTTTAGCAAAAGTAATTACTATATACAACATCTGGATTCCAAAAGAAGAGAGGAAAAACATCCACATAGGGAAAACAAGTGCAACAGATTGGAACACAAAACTGCAATCTAATTTTCAAAACTGTTACTAATAAATTCTCCTTTCCTATCCCAAGGACGACTTTCAAAAGACTTTCCAATTATACTGCGACTCTGATTTATAGTCCCGTCCTCGCAGCAGTACTCAGGAAAGTAATCCAGGAAGCTTTTGCTTCCTAGTTCATCAATTCCATTAAAGAGGAAGTTCACCAGCAAGTCCTAGAGATTATTTTAAGTCAGAAACTGCACTCATGTAACAAAATCAAACTCATCAATGTCCAATACCTTTGCTTGTGTCTCCCCAATCAACTTTTTTAGTAGTCCATGCCCAGGATCCTAATGTCACATGTTGTCTCAACAAAATAAGTCACAAAAACAGATAATAGGGGATTAAGCTGTAAAAGTCAAAGGCAATCAAGAGAGCCACCATAACTATCATTTGATATCCAAAAATTTCTATTATAATTTAACTTATTAGGTAGAATGTGTATATATATATATATTTTTTTTTTTTTTTTTTTAATTTTTTTTTTGTTGGTACAACTTGTTTGGTATAATTGAAAATACTGAATTTCCATTATGAATTCAACAACAGTTCTGTTCTGAAGGCCCTATAAGTGAGACTGAACAGCTTTCAGAACAAAATGCACTGGTCTATTATTTTATTCTTCATACTCTTATGATACTTTCAGTGATGCATCTAAACATTCGAAGAAAATAATTGCTTTCCTTTTCTTTTTTCTTTTAACTTAAAACACTGAATTTTTAGATTTGAGAGTGAGTAAACCAAAGACATGAACTAGGACTTCCCAAAAAATCCGTTCCAAGGTCCTAATATGAATCACAAGGAATCCATACATAAGAAAGGATGCATGTAACAATAAACCTGGGAAAGAGCATTAATCACCTTCTCTGCTCTCCATGTTAGATATCTATGTTGTGCTTCACGGTTACACATAATTTTAGAGGCATTTGTCTCCACTACTGCTTGGTCCATCAGCTCAAGCCATGCCTGCAGGAGCAAGAGGAAGTTCTAACACATGACAACTTGGAATTCTACAGTTTAATTGATATAGGAAGTACCATATAAATGTTGATATTCAATTCCACTTAGCAGCATAGAAAATATCATAAACTAAAATTTTGGGACATAAAAGCCATCAAACTTATACCTTGTAATAATCCATGAATGCAGAATATAAAACATCATATTTGTAGGAGCTTGACGTAAATCTTGTCCATATCACAATTGGTGAAAAAAATTTTAAAGACTCACTAGTAAGCTTTCCTCCCCAGGGTAAAAGCTGCATGAAATCTGTGTTCAGTCACGATGCCATATCTTTTAGAAAGGATTTGGAAATAACCACAGGATCAGCATTTACATTATATGTTCTAGTTCAAATCATTCTATTTACCTCAGCATATTTAAGGCCAAGAGGTATTAGGCCTTTATAGTATTTTTCTTTGTAATCTCTTTGACTGATGACATCATGCAAGGGATTGAGGTCCCTATAAATGATCAATTACGGGTAAGCTCCAAATTTAAAGTATTCAATATTTATACATGATACCAAAACGGCTTCAGAGAGAAAAATATAGTTATGATGTACTAAAATTATCAATTTGAGAAGATAAACATACTATAAGTGTCATTCGGCATCAAAAGAGAGTAAATGGTGGAGTTTCTAGATCCACCACGCCCAACATGAACAAAATAAGACAAACAATTTATCAATGTATCACAACAGAAAGTTAGACTTCTTTTCTATAAATAGATGTACTAAAGTTGAGCTAATTCATAGCAATAATATGTATATGGTTAGCCAGATGTTGCAAAAGCATGAATAGTAAAGTATAACATCATGTCAGCATTACCTACTCATGTACAATGGGAATTACTTTTCATTTTTCTATTGAGTTTTACTACATATTTTTAGAACAGTAACTTGGTTGGGATATTTCTCGGTTGAGGGAAGACAACACTATCAGTAATGATGTTTAAGATTAACGTAATGATATTGTAATAAAAGAATCGTAGTCCTATGATTACTTTTAAACAATTAATAAATAAGAGCTTACAGAACAACTATGTTCGTATTTGCACTGCTGAAGAAGTTGGCACAAAATATGGGCATATCAAATTCTGGTTGTGGGAAGACAGCAAAATCCAAAACCTGCACATGATTTATGATACAACAGTTATTGGCAGTGCAAAGTGTGAATTGTGTTATAGATCATAACAAAATATACAATATATGCACATGCTTTGAGGAAGGCCTGTCAATCGAGGTTTCCAAACCTAATCTCATCAAGCCTACAGATTCTCAGGCCATGACCAAGATCTTACTAATTCTCAGATTATCTCCTAGCAGCTTCAGCTTTTAAATTCATTTGCTTTTTTCTTCTTTGGTCTGATATATTCATTGGTTATTATCAATTATTATAGTATTAGAGCAAAATATCATGTTATCAATTATTCATTGGTTACTTGTAATTCATGACCCATGTAATGTGTATGTTGAAACTTGAAATCGATAATTTCACCATCTCCTAACTAGTTATCAGTTGGAAAAAATAACTAAACCTTCAGGAGACATACTTTCTACTAGCCTAACTTCCAATGTTTTCTCTTATTGTTTTTGTGATATCAGATATTTGAGCAAAGATTATGGGGATACCAATTGAAATTACATTTATATTGTTTTTTTTTCCCTACTAGAATAGTAATATGTGAACTGTTACTTACAGGTAAAACAAAAATAAATAAAAGGAAAAATAATCACATGAAAAATCTGGACCTTTGAGACAGAATTTCAATAACAATAAGGCTTCAACTCAGTTTATGGTTCACTTTCTAATTCTAATTGCTAAACAAAATCACGTGATACTCTAGTACCTTCACAGCGCCAAGAGTGAGAAATATTCTCGCATGACAAGGTAAATTTAATGCTGAAACTAGTCAGTAACCAAATTACCGTAGATAAAAACCAATCAGCCTCTTGTCAAGAAAATGAGTATGAATGGGCCTACAACACATTGCACACACAACAATTTTGAAGAATATATGTATACTATAGATGATTTCCAACTGATCTGTAAGAGATTTCATCCATCAATTTAACAAGCAACCCCCAAATGAACTATCTTTATTTTAATATGCAGGTGACATACATTTTGAAAATATAACAATGGTGGAGTACTAGGTAGTTGACATCATTGCACCAGTATTATAGCAATAACAAATAAAACAAAACAAAATTATTAAATCAAATGGAGCCACTGTGAGCTCTTCTATAGCTCACAATATAGAGTAAACAAAGTGACATATTACAGCATGATACCTGCATTGTTTGACTCTCAATGCAAAGGCTACGTAGAAGCCTAACTTTAGTAGCTTCGAATGACAACATTTCAATCTCTGATTTCCCATCCATTGAGATCCTAGAATTATATCTTTCCTGATGACACACAATGGAATGCTAGTCATGAATAGCAGAAATAATAAACATTATGACTGGTAATAATCATTGGTGAAATATTCATAATAATATACTATCACAGCATCGAAGAGTTCTCAAAAATGAAAAAGTTAAATAGTTCAAGAAATGGCCAACATGAAATTGCAAACCTTTTGAAAGCTAATCTAGTCCAAATAATGCATAAGAAAAAGCTGAATAAGTTCAATACAATTGAATTCTATTCTTGGTGAATTGCATCTACAATCAATGTTCCATCAGCTAACATGTCAATGTCATGATCAGAGGATACAATTCTATTTTTACAGGATTTGGATAACCGAATACTACGGTGCTTTCAGCCAACTATGTTCACACTGTGAAAGATAGAGAAGTGTACCAAGAAAGCGCACGCTTAAGCATAATTTTTTTTATTATGAAACAGAACTTATTAATAAAAACAATAAAACACAGTACAAATACTCGGTGATTTTTGGAAATGTTGAGAAAAAAATCAACCACCAATCAGGACGAGCCACATAGAGCCAAAATAGTCCTCTAGTTCAACTAAAGGACTGAATGACCTGACCACCTACCCAAGCACCCTAGACAATGCCTCTCACCTTGGGTGTCGCCAAAAGGAAAAGATGGTAGCTTGACCTGAGGTCCATCTTGATTTGAGCACTCGCAATGCTCACATCTTAGGTCCCAATACTAGCTCAACCTGAGTACTCAGGCCTAGCACTAGCTGTATGCCTGAGGTCCCAAGCCCCTTCTGGCCCTTCAATCATAGATCAGACTCAAAGAAGAGATCCCAGAAACCTCAGAAAGGATCATCAGTTATGTGACTTGACACCCAATGGAAGGACTGAAAGCAGCTTCCAAACCAGACGCGCAAATTTGGAGATTGTAGTTTGAAAGATTTGAACTCAACATCTTCCGACCACAAAAGCTATGTTGCTTTGCCACTACTTCTAAAAACTTAAGCTATTAGAATGGGGGCCAAGAGATATTTTATATTCTAATACCAAGTATTCCTTTTCTCCCATATATGGTGAACAATCCGGTTAAATTAAGCACTTGTATTGGTGATGTATAACGATAATGATTATAAGGAATGACTTGGCACTCCACACCATTGGCAATCAGCAGCAGCCAACATAGTAAGCTCAGTTGAAATATGGGAGGAAGCTGCTCGATTAAGTTCATTTATGACTTCCAAGCAAAGTCTGAAGTGTTTAGTAGTATTTTTCATATATTAGTTTCCTATTAGTGCATTACTGATCTTCATACCATAAGTTCCCTATCTGCTTCTTCTCACGGATTAAGTCATCAGTTAATAGGAACAACACCCACGAAATAATTTGATTATTGTACCAGAAAAGCATCAATTTATCTTTACATGCACAAATTAACGCATACAAATAGAAAAGAACAAGACCGAATAATTTTTCAGATGGCGATCCAGCAGCAAACATCTTGTATTTTCAACAAACAGCTGAGCAGCAAAACCAGCATTTAGTAACTTGGAAATTTAAAAAAAAAGATTTACTCATCCAAGTTTTTCAGTACCAAAAGGAACAATTCAAATCAAACCAATCTAAGAAGAAGAACCCATATCAGTTTTAGGAGAGTACATACCTGCAAGGGAGAAGGTGCCAAATGGGTGTGGCGTTTGGTTTCATCCAAAGCAAAGTTAATGAATTTTTTGTAAGAAATTGCAGAGAGTTGGACAATGGGCATCTGCTGCTTCCTACTGCTACTGCAAATGCTACTAAATAATGCAGTGCTGATTAATGGTAAAGGTCTTTTGGGTATGCAAAAGCTTAAAGAAGAAGAACATTCCATTGAAGAGAAAGAAGAACTTGCACTGAAGCATCCACCAATAGCAACACAATAAACCCCTCCTTGGGGGGTTTTAAGTCTTCCTATTCCCTTCTTTTTCTTTAAAGTTTTTTATTTATTTTTTGTGCTGCTAAAGATAGTGAGGTTGTTTCTCAATCTCTGCTCGGTTCAACTTTATCCAGTTACCGCTATAGCACTGCTCAATGCGTTAGAGCCATGAGAGCAGAAAATCTACAGAGAGACCCACCATGTATGTTGTGTCCCTTTCAATAATTAGGCCTACGTTTGCCTCATTCGAACCGTACATAACAAAACAAATAATAGGAAAAGCATTGAAACGCAAAAACGAACCGTGCCTTTTATTTCAACAAATTGTTATTTTTTGAAGTCTTTATTTATAGATCATACTTGTAAAAATGTTATTTGAACACTTTTTTTTTATCAAAATTATTTGAACACGATTAATTGACCACATTAGCTCACCACGTGATGTGGCAACTTATGCAATAATGACAAGTTAATTAATAAAATTTGCTTATTGGAATTTAATTTTTCTAATGGTACTAATAAAATAAATAAATAAAATTAGATATTAACCCAAAACTTCAAACATTCATTGGGGAAAACCTATGGGGTTTTTAAGATCAATTTGAGCCATTTTGGGGTTTATATAAAAATTTGAATTAATGGTCGTGATGATGTGTTAGATGATTGTTTGAGCTAGATAGGTTGATTTTTCTCAATGCCCATTATACCCCATTAATATCCATTTGTTATATGTTTTACCAAAAGAAACATTTTCTCCATTCATCTATATATATAAAGCAAAAGGTAGAGAATGGTGAAACATTCAAAATATCAGAAAATGTCATTGATTAATGCAAACATTAAGAATTGAAATTATTTAAAAGACGATAATATGGTAAATTCACACTTTTTCATACTTTAAAAATAATAATAATAATAAGATAATGGATCCTATTTTTATAGAACACAACTACCCATCATTTTTTTAAATTCTAAAATAAATTTAAATTTTTTTATAAAAAAGTATCTCACAGGTGGAAGCGTGTGCGAAGAGGCTAAGTATATAATTATTTACAAAACAACCATTTGTCAACCCTTAATTCTAGTATTATTTAATAAAAATGAGAAAAAACTAAATTTAGGTCAATATTTATTAGTTTAACATTTTTAATAAGAGTAATGTTACACTTACTATATTTTTATTCCACATTTCTATACCACATGATGTGACATGTCTATATATATTAAATCAATGAAATGTATTTTAATAAAGAAAATTTAATTAACTGTTTTTTTAAGTGCTAATAAATCATAAGAAGAAAAGAAAATATTAAATCATTTTAATTAATGTGGTTGTTCACCTCATCTGCCACATGAGGTTATATGAGAATGTAATATACAAATATAGTAAGAGCAACTCCAGCGAGAAACCCAAGCCAAAAAGCCAGTTCCAGCTGGCCACTTTTGCCCGAGCTAGAGGTGGGACCCACAAAGACGGGCTAGCCTGAGGGTAGCGCGAGCCTAAGCTCAAGCCCAAGAGGGGAGCTGACGTCAGTGCGCAGTTCAAATTTTTTTTACTATTGGCGTGTGAAAATTTGAACTCGTGTGCATTGACGTCAACCCTACACTCCGCCAATGGCTAGAAGACAGGTGTGGTCGTCTAGGGGCTCCGATCTCTTTCTCTCATGGCTGGCCTTTTTTTGGCTATAAAATTATGAAAAAAAAATTCAAATTTTTTTTAAAAAAATACCCAAAAATTCTGGAATTTTTTTCTATAAATACCTACCAATACTTTTCACTTTTAACACCAAATCCTCATACATTTTCTTCTACTTCTACTATTATTCACTTTCTACTCAATATTTTTTTCACTTTCAAGTTTTGTGTGAGTGTTGGGTCCATTTTTTGCAGAATTATTTTACGCATCAGTATATTTAGATGATAGATGCTAAGTATAATCAACGGCATCAGTAGGAAAAACTAAAGTTTGTGCTGATACCTTTATACACTTTTAGTCTTAGTATTATAAAACTAATGCCTAATATACTAACAACATCAATTTTTCACTTCACCGATGCCTATGTAGTGTTGCGGAAAGTGAAATTTGGCATAATGCAATATATTTAATATTTAATAATTATTTTAAATACACGTGTCAGCTTATTACTTGTTAGAATAGTTGGTTCTAAGAGTTTAGAATGTAACCAGTTGCAGTGAATCAATAATCTTTTCCCTTCCTATAGTATCATCGATTTGAAAATCCTAGCCATCCCCAAACTAAAAATCTAAAACCTCAGACCTCTCCTTCTCACAAATCCATCTAAACCTTATCCACCATCGATTGAAACCTCTGCAACTTCTCATCTCTCTCAATCAAAACCTCTCATCTCTCGATTGAATCCTCTGAAAAACCTCTCATCCCTCAAAAATCAAATCCCTCAACTCTCTGAAACTTTTCATCTCCATCATCGTTGTCTCTTCTTCTCCGTCACTAGGTAAGTATTGAATAGGGTTTCAATTTGGAGTTTCGGCTAGATTAGGGTTTCAATTTGGGGGTTTTACTAATTTGAGGGTTCTGATTTGAGTTTCAATTAGAGGGTTCTTGATTGGGTTTTCTGTGAATTTGGGGATTTGGATTTGAGTTTCGATGAGGGTTTCAACTAAATTAGGGTCTCTGCCACATTAATTTGAGGGTTGAAATAGGGTTTGAAATTAGGGTTTTTGGTTTTTGAATTTCATGTTAATGGGGGCTTTTTTGTTTTTGGACAAAATTGAGCAAGTTGAGCTAGGGTTTTGCTTTGCTGGAGCTGTTGGTACTACTATTGAGGTATAATTGAACTTTAATTTTGTAATTAAATATATATGTTGATTATCTATTAGGATTGATTGAGTTAAAATGATGTGCTTTTTACTTGATTAAATTGTTGCTGTTTTAATTAAAAATGTTTAGTCTGATGGTTGGTTAGGATTTTTTTATTTATTTTTAAGATACATGTTTAAATAGTTGTTGTTTTATGAAAAAGTTTAGTATGATGGTTGGTTAGGATTTTTTTGAATGATATATGTTTAGTTGGCTGATTGGTTAGGTTATTTAGTTGCTTTTTTTGTGTGTGTTTGTTTCAGGAAAAATAGATGGAGAATGCCTCTTGTAGTACACCTACCATTCAACCCTAATCACAACCCCAACCCCAAACACAACCTCCTCAACCCCAAATAGAAGGTCAAACATAAATTAATTCTACTGTAGTGGGAAGGAAAAGGAAACCCCCCAAATATGTTGGGTGGTTACACTGCAATAAGGTGAAGAAGAAGGATGAAACCTGGGTAGATAAGGTAGTTAGGGTATGCAACTATCGCAAGCTAGAGATGCCGACTAGTGCTAAGAGAAATGGGACAACTAGTTTGAAAACCCACCTAGAGAAGAGATGCAAGCAATCTCTTTTTTATAAAACTCATATATTGCAAGAACTTGTGCAACAAAGAAAAGCCAAATAACTTGTGAAGATATCCAATGAGGTGGATAAGTATTTGACCGATCCATTTGTAAACCCTTTGAATAAACACTTCAAACTCTTGGATTGGTGGAAAGGCAATAAATCAAGATATCTAATCCTTGCAAAGATTGCCAAGGATATCTTTGCAATCACATATTCAACCGTTGCTAGTGAGAATGCTTTTAACTTAGAAAAGCGGATTGTGGATCATTTTAGAAGTTCATTAACTCTTAAAATTGTAGAGACATTAGTATGTTCAAGTGATTGGCTTAGGGCGGAGGAATTTGCTTCTACTACGAACCAATAGAAGATGAGCTTGCATTTTATATAGAGCTTGAACAAATTGAAGCAAGTAAATGTTAATTTATTTGTATTTTTAGGTACTTTATTTGTTCAAAAATTAAATTAATGAGTTTGTATACTTGACTTGTATTTGTAGATGCTATGGGAATCGAAACTACTCAAGCTTCTATTTCTACATCACAAGCACAACATCCAAGTCATCCTCCACTTCCTTCACCATCTTGGAGTTGAAGATTAGATAAAACAACCATCTTGTGGTTGGTTGGTTTGCAAAGCAAACTTATTTTAGATTCTAATTGAATTAACTTAAGTTTGTATTTTGTTTTCATTTGGGTTGTAATGATAATTAATTTGGTCTTCAATTTCTGTTTAGTTGGGTTATAACTTTAATTAACTTTTCATTGCATTAATGACTAGTTTATGATGGATTGGATATGTGATGAGCTTTGCTTGTAATATTAATATGTGTTAAACAGGTCAAAAACTTGCCTAAATTACTCATAAACTGCCCTAAAAATTAGGCTTCTAAATTGCCTAGAAATTGGCATAAAATTAGGCTTCAAATTTTCGCTCAAACTAGGCTAAAAAAATATCCATGACTGGCCCAAAAAGTTCCCAAAAAATTGGGCTAAAAGCCCAAATACTCTCATCAACAACTGGCCCATTATCGAACCGAATCGATCATCGTAATCGGTGATATCGAAAGTCGGTAAATTGACACTGTTGGCGGCGACGACAGTCATGATTTTCCCATTACTGTTCAGAGTGGTTCGGCTACCAGTTTGACCAGATTGGTTCGATGACCAAACCGAACCCAACACTAATCTCAAGTCTCAATTAAGCAATGTTATAATCATATTTACTCCTTGTGGCTACAATAGATGTTTCGATTTTTGTGTTGAAATATGATTATTATCACTAGTGGAATGTAATAGATATGTGTGGTTGTTTAATACTTCAGATGTAAACGTTTTCTATTTGATTATGAATAAACTACAACCGTTTCAAAAAGAAAGAAAAAAAGTTACAATGAATTGAGTATTTAGATTGTCTACTTCCTAATAGAGAATTAAAAAACTGTTATTTTTCTTTAAAATAAGGAGTTCTCAAATCCATTTTATAAGATTCAAAAAGTTGTTTGGTATGCAACTTGAAAACTATTTTTGAATCTTTAAAATTTGAAAACTTGTTTAGTTGAATTCTCAAAAACAATTTCATTTTTCATTTTTTACAATTAAGATATTTTAATAAACATTATCAAAATTATACTAAATATACTATTTTAACATCCATATTTTAATACCATACATATATGATCGATAAGCTCAATTAGTCTTCAAGTCTTAAAAAATACATATTAAATTAAACATTATAGAGTAAATAAATTCTAAGACTAATGATTCCAAATATAATTCATTCACATTGCTCCTGTTATGTGATTTCTAGCATCACTCATTTCATAAGCATTGTCCTTAAGCAAATGGATGTGTTCTTGATTCACTTCAAAGCTTTCTTCATCTACCACTTGAAAATCATTTACTTGATAACAGGACTCGACCCAAATTCCATTTTGGAATCTATGTCGAACCCTGTGTGTGACCAGCATCTGGCAGGTATTGGACCAGTTGTCCAAAATACCCCTTATTGAGTTTGACTTCTACTAGAAAACCGGCAGAGGACCCCCTGAAAAACGAACATTTACCAAATTAATTTCACTTGTAAAAATCACAGTTTAATATTTCCCGACTTCAGTATGCACAATGCTAACACAAACAATTTACTAGATGGCCTCCAACCTCAAATTCAACCTTACCAGGGCAATATCAACTTAATCTACAAATTTGTTTCTTACTTTACAAATAGCTACAAATTCCAAACAATAACTCAACTATTTATTTTGCGGCTGTACTAAGGTTAGCCTAGGTTACCTATGTACCCTTACCGGGGGATCAAGCCACACGTAGTTCTTTCAACACGAAAGCAAATTTCAACCCACATGTAAGCACGTGAATCAAATATTCCTTCACACTTTCCCAAAACCCAAAAGCTTCAAATTCTAATCAATCCGTTGAAACTCAAGCAAATGTATTGATTCAGAACAATCTTCCACTCATCACATATGTGCATATACAAATATATATATATATAATAACTCATTACAGATAAGTAGGAAAACGAAAAAATTATTAAAATAACATTCGCCACGTGAAATTTTAATATAACTATCAACGGTTTGAATAAAACATGCTTCCATCTTCACATGTAAAAACAAACTCATCACTTAAGAAAATAGTTGTGAATTGTATAAAATCCTTAGAACTTAGAAAACCCTCAATCCTTGTCTCATACATTGGAAAACATGTATTAGAACTTTTAACAATAAGTACCAAGATAAAATCATCAATTTTAGTTTAAAATATCTCAAAATTCAAATACTATCCACCTAAGCATACCCCATTCATAATCCGTCAATTTCAAGCACCATGTATGTTACAACCTCGCAGAACTCGGGGGAAGTATGGTTAGCCCGTGAACACATATCCAAGCAGAACTCGAGGTACACGTAGTCAGCCTAAGAACGCATATCCTCGCAGAATTCGGGGGACACGTAATCAACCCGAGAACACATATCCTCGCACCTCACGATTCAGACGTCCCCCAGACTCGTGGGGCATTATCATAAATGACTAGGCTGTTCCAAAAGCAACTAGGGCGGTACTCTTGTGGTGGTTTGAAAACTATTTTCTGAAACTTATCATAAAATTCCTCTTATTCCACAAATCCACTTCCCAAATCTTTTCTCAATCTCAACTTTCCAAAATAAGTTCTTAAATAGATAACCAAAAATCCCTTCTTAAAACGAGAGCAATTCCAACATTTCTTAACTGAATTTGTCCATGCATAATTTATCACAACTATTCTCAACTATATTTAAATATATACCACATACTATTGAATAAACTAGTATCCATAATTCATCGATTTCAAGCCACCGAGCATATATTCACATATAGACATATAATTAGGCATTTAATCCTTAATCAAGCCATAACCAGGTTAACCACGCCATTCCCAATTCCACACAATTAAACATAATATAATATGCTCAGAAAGTAAAAGCGATTGCAGTAATTCATAAACATTTAATAAAACTCTTAAAGCATAATACCATTTTAAAACAATCTTCCAATTACAGTTACAACTACTAAATGACCTCAACTGAGTCGACATAGCCCACAATCTAAGTCAATTGGGCTCATAGTGCCCACAACCTCAATTTGTTAAATGACAACTCTTATTGGTCCAGAACCAAAATTAAACACATCCTAGAAGTCTCGTCATAATTCAACGATCTGTTTGACCCCAATTGCAGAATTTGACCAATTGGGGCATTGGGGTCCACATCCTCCGATTTCTGATCTGAATGTTCCTATAAGTCTAACAAGGTCTACTTAACAAGTCCCGAGAGTTTGGTCTCAATCGAGAGGTCGGATCACTCCCGATCGGACGGTCATCGTTTTACATAAACTTTAAATCATTGATTCGGAGTATCCGGGACTCCGATTCGTGATCCGTGAGTTCCTACACGATCCTAAAGGTACCTAAATCAACATACTTGGAAATGGAGCTGATCTAACAGTCCGAACATATCGAACCCAAATATCGCCTAATATGCGTAAATCCGTTCGACTGTCATACGATAACCAAATACGAATCTGAGCATACCGTTGTGCATGGGACGACATGGGGAACATCTTAAAACTCAAAGAATTGCCACCCAGACGCTCAAGTGCTGCCACCCAACACCGGCACCACGTGGGTGTCTTGAGAAAATTCTGACGACCCAAAATTTTTCGAAACACCTTACAAAACCTATACCAAAGATTTAGACTAACAAGATTCAAACCAAAAAGTGGCCGAAAATGGGTGAAAAATGGCCAAAATCATTGGCCCAATATGGGTATTTAAATCAATCTCCAAAACTCCAAAATTAACCCAAACTAACTACATAAGCAGGCAAATCATGATGAAGGGATGAATTTCCATACCTCACTTAACGGATTTGGCCATCGGAATCGCCGGAAAACACCCAGAAACTGCCGAAAAAAGAGACAAAGACACTGAGCTATTTTTCATTAAATTGTAATTTCACAATTACAAAAATTGAACAAAACGATTAAATTGGGTCAGGGGTGTTACACTTGATGTTGATGAAATATGATGTCATTTCTCGATTGCATTCTAATGAAGTTGTGCACGATACAACAAGCAACAAGAATATATCTTTGTTTCATGATTGGATAATTTAGCATTAACTTCAAACTATGAAAGCGAGCCTTAAGCAATCCAAAACATCTTTCAATAACGTTACGTAGTGATGAATGCCTATAGTTGAATAATTCCATTGCCCATTTGGATGTCTCCTCTCCCACTATAATCACGCAAGTGATAGTGCTCTCCACGATATAGTGCGAGAAACACGTGCATATTTGCATAACCAGAATTAACAAGATAATATTTCCCAATTTAAGAATAGTTAATATAAGTATTTTACTCCATTTAAATATATTATAAAAAATATATATTGTAAGTCGGTATGTTTAAATAATTTCATACCTATTGCATCCATCAACACTCTTAAGCGATATATTCTCTTCTCTACTTAGTGCATCCATAAATACTATTGAGTCATTAGTTGTTCCTTCCCATCTCGTGTAAACATATGTGAACAACATTTCAAATGAACATGTACACATAATATTTTGTGTCACCTCAACTTTTCTGCCTCGATATGAAACTTGTTTTTATGTAGGAGCTCATGCACTGATATGTGTTCCATAAATCATACAAAGTGACAATTAAACCATGACATGTCAATACTTAACCATATAACAAGAAAAAAAAAGTAGTTAAGTTAATCACATTTACCTTAAACCACATGTGGTAACTAGGATTCCCCATGATTTTAGGAGGTGTCACATCCATATTTGGAGGTTAAATTATTTGAGTACCAACTCGACATATTGCTTTGAGAACTCTATTAAATTGTCTAAACATGGTTTCTTTATAATGTTGAAATTTCTTAGCAATCATCTTATTATGAGTTGTATGCCCAATAGTCTGCAAAAACATGCACACTAACTCCTCGACACAAATTGATCTATCATCTTATAAAAAATTCAAGTCCCTCAATGTCGAACACAAGTTCGTAAATACGTTCTTATCCATTC